GTAAGACATATTTTAAGATTAGATGAAACAGGATAAGTCTAACCAGTGCCCTTTTATTTTCTTTTAAGCAAACAATTGTTTTAAAGATGAAGAAAAAAGTGCAATGATTGTCAAAACACAATTACATATATTTCCTTAGTATAGACAGTTTATTTGCATTTGTTCACAACTCTTATCCGTTGTCCTTCTGGAAGGGCAAGGCAGTTGCAGCAAATGTGAAAAAAGATATTCAAAAGTCAAGTACAAGTGGTTGGATAAGACTGTCTAATCAAGTCAGAATTCCAGTGAAAATCTGGAATTGGACAATTTGTATTGTTAGCACTAGAGTATTTATGGTTGTATTAAAAGGTTTAAATTAAAAAAGATCAAAATCTCATTCCACATGAGAACACCAGATTTGGTGTCTTTAGTTTTGAACATTTTAATAAGATTTTTTTTGAAGAAAAAAAATCTATTTTAAAGATCATTGGGTTTTGCTGTAGGCAAAACTTTGTGGGTCCCATTTTGCTGACTCCAAACTTTTATGGGTCATGGTAATAATTGTGAAAACGTGGTTTAATTTCTTTTTCCTGCCTGTCTGTGATTCTTCGTTGTTGTTTTCTAGCAAATCTTGAAAATGCCATTTGGTCTGACAGCAAAGATTTAATATTTTGTAAAATATTACAATATTTTGTATTTAAAAATGTACTCCTTTTGGAATGAATGTAAAAACTAAGCTGTATAAAATGAGCAATTCAAGCTGAAATGAATATGTCTGCTCTTCTAGGCTTTGATAGTCCCCCTATAATTTCCTCATTCTAGCAATATAATTCCCATCACAAGCAATATAATTGGTATGCTACAAATAAAATGTTTTATTCTTTGGGGATTTCCAGCCAATTTTAGAACCATATTATTTACCTACATAAAGCAGTTTGATCTCTCTTTAAAATTTCTTTTCTTTTCAAGCACTGTTTAACTGTTAGCAATACAACTGCTAATTAGCAACTATAATGACAGTGGGGAAAAAACTATAATTAACAGAGCTAAGTTCATTGACTGATAGGTCTTAAGTAATTATATGGGGATATAGACAAAGATGCAGTTCCTTGACTTACAACTCATTCTCATACTTAGGACCATTGCAGCATTCCTGCAGTCACGCGATCAAAATTTGGGCACTTGGCAACCAGCATGTATTTACAATGGTTGTAGGCTCTCAGGGTCACATGATCACCATTGGTGAGCTTTCCGGTCAACTTCCAACTAGTAAAGTCAATGGGGAAAGTTGGATTCCTTTAATGCCTGTGTGATTCATTTAACAGTGACAGCGATTCACTTAAGCTAAAAGGTTGTATAATTTTGGGTGTAACTCCCTTACTGACCACCTCGCTTAGCAGTGGAAATTCCGGTTTGAATTGTGGTTGTAAGTTAAAGGCCACCTATATCAGTAAAACCTGAATATAGTGTAGACACCATGTGTAATACAGTTAACATGTCGTTTGTCCGTCAGTGATGAAAACATCTATGGAGATTCTCAGTCATCCAGGTCATGATTGTCCCAAAGGTGCTTTTTCAAGAGGCACCTGGCTTTCTGGTTTTTCTTTGAAGACGTTTTGCTTCTCATCCAAGAAGATTCTTCAGCTCTTCAGCTTCAGATTCCTCACTGTCCAGCCAGAGTTGAAGAAGCTTCTTAGATGAGAAGCGAAACATTTGCAGAGAAAAACCAGAAAGTCCATTTGCCTCTTCAAAAAGCACCCTTGAGACATTAATTGAAACCTTGAGAACATCAATCATGTTAAAACTAAACATTGTATGATCTAAGATGATTGCTCAGGCCAATTCGGGCACAGTATGGTACCTATTACTATTGGAACTAACTTCGCTTGCATTGCCACGTTCTACTTCTACTTCTACTTACAGTTTTATGTATTTGATGGGGTTTTTTCTCTCCAATTCTTTCTCTTCAATTCCGCTATCATGTTCACTATCCAGAAGACTTTTTTGTTTTTCTTATTGACAGTTGTTAAGTCTGGGATGTTAGGTGACGGGGTGCTTGTCTGTTTGAATTCTAAAGTTCCCAGCATGATTTAGCGTCTTCATTTTTTACGGCTTTGCCGATGTTTTGGTCCTCCCTGATCTTGTTTGCAGGCGAATCGTATTTCTTGCAGATATTCCAATGCACCATTGCTGCTACTTTGTCATGTTGTCTGTAATCAGTCTGTCCAATGTTGTTGAGCAGGAATCTTAAGGGGTCCAGTATTTCTTCTGCTTCTTTGCCGGGATGGCATTTGCTGTCTATTGCTGTCTTTTCAATTTTGGCTTTGTATGGATTTGTTCTTAAGGCTTGGCCTTCTGCAGCTAGAATTAGCTCCTCCTCTAAAACGATTGAGCTTATGAGGCAGGTCAAGCCTGGCCCTCTGCAAAGAAAAAGAAAGAGAAAAATGCTAATGGCAGCCAAAACATTTGCTTTTGGATCTGCGCAGCCTTGGAAGAGCTGCACTCTCTTTGAAGAACTTTGGAAGGCAAGGAGAAGGTGGTTTTTTAAAAAAATTCTCCATGAAGCCAGCTCCAGTGTTCCAGCCTTGCCCCAGGAGCATAGGAAAGGAGGGATTTTAAGACACCACCCCACAATATTTTTTAAAAAAATCCTTTGCTGATAAAGAGCCACGCCAGATGGCCTCACGGGAGGAAGAAAACAGTAAAGATCAGTTAGCATAATGATAGGCAGGGCAGTGAGGGTGGCTAGGCTGGGGCCTCCCAGGCTTCTATTGAGGGAGGGGGTGGCTACTTCACACCCTTGGAGTCTCCTGAGCATTTGGAGCTTCCTGTGGGGCAGCTTCTTTGTGCCCCAGTGTGGAAACTAACCAGTGTTTGGCCCTTGGGGTGCTTGGCTGCTTCGCGCTGCATTGTTGAAACTTTCCCAGGGTTTAAGAGCAGAGATGGGAGGGGAAGATAGGTAGGTAAGAGGAGTTACAGCCCCTGCCCCCCCACCGGCAGTTGTAAGTGTGGACAGGCTGGCAAGAGCCAAAACTCTGATCATGTGATTGCAGGGAAAGAGCTGCAGTGGCTGTAACTTAGGACACAGGTCGTAAGTTGCCTTGCTCAGCACTGTCATGATTTTGAACGGTCACTGAACGAACCATCATAAGAGTGATGCAGTGGCTTACAGGTGGAGCTCTCGCCTCACAATCAGGAGGCTGTGAGTTCAATCCTAGGTAGAGGCAGATATTTCTCTCTCTGGGCACACTGAGAAGATACCTGCTGCACAAAACTCTGCATTGGTGATAGGAAGGGCATCGGGCCATTAAAATACTCTGCTAGCTCCATTCAACTGACTTCATCACGCCAAGGATTACGGGGTTGTTAAATGAAGATGATGACTGAATGGACCATCATAACTAGAGGATTACTTGTATTAAGATTGTGAAAGTGGGAATGGAAAAATAAGTATTACCATTCTGTAATTTAAAATTACAGCAGAAGGGCAGAAGAATTACCCTTCTGTAATTTATAATAAATTAGCAAGATTTCTTATTTCATTAATTAACAACAGCAGTGGTTATTCCCCCAATACAGTATACCTAAATTAAGCTTCCAAAATGCAGGAAACTTGAGTTTATCAAACACTGTAAACCTAGTTCACTTCTATACTAAGAACCAATTCTGAGGCTTGGTATTTGTCCAAAGAGTCCTGATCATTAACTCCATCTATGATTTTTGGCAAATTGCTGTGGTGCTTTGAACTTAGGGCCCTAATAAAAAAGAAATAAGATTTGAAAGACCACCCCAATCCTTGGAAAAGATCTAGGTTTTTTTAACCACCTTGTCAGCCTTTAAAATGGTGGTGCAGCAAATTTCCAAGATATGCAGTCTTATGTGAAATAATATATCTCCTCTTCCTCCTCCTCCTCCTCCTCCTCCTCCTCCTCCTCCTCCTCCTCCTCCTCCTCCTCCTCCTCCTCCTCCTCCTCCTCCTCCTCCTCCAGCATCTTCAATATGTAGCCTGCTTTGCAAGAAATAAAATAAAATAAAAATAGCAGGTTGCAATTGTTTAATCAAAAAGGTCTCCAGTTATGAATGACCTTGTTTCTCTTCCTGCACTGAAACAAAGCCATTGTATGGCGTTTAAAAACATTATGTCATGTGCCTTTTGGTGCTAGTATGCTATTATTGTTGTGAAGCTTGCTGGGCTTAGCTTAAACAATATTAGGAATTACATTTTAAGGTATTCTGATCAAATTTATATTTGGCTCGAATTAATTACTTTCCTCCGATGAAAGAATATATCATTAAATGTACTACAAACAGCAAAAGAGCAAAGGTCTGTATACTGAGAAGTGTAGAAATTATCATTATATATATCCATACATGGAATAGATATCTATAATTATACATAGAACCATCAGTATTGTGAAAATATTCTTGGACTGCTGCCTCATGAAGTTATTTGAAGTGCCTTATCTTAGTCAACTTTTCTGCTTTCTTTATGGAGTATTTACTTTCTGTCTACTGAGAATTGGGGCTATATATACCAAACTCAATTTCATTGAGGGCTGCATCAGGGTTGTATTTGATCTCGGTGGCCTGGGTGGGCATGGCCAGCTCAATGTCACTCATGTCGGGGGTGCCTGACATGAGTGCTCTGCCAGCAAAAACAGGCTCTGCTTTCGCCTGCGGTGGTGGCCTCCTTCAACCCTGTGCCCTCCTGAGCTCAGTTTTCACTGACAGAAGCACCGCGGGCTGGTCCTTTATTGTTTCCAGAGCAGCCCCATAGGCAAGATCTAAGCACCCCGCTGGCCAGATCCGGCCCCTGGGCCTTGAGTTTGACATGCCTGATATATACACTCAAAGGGATATCTCTCATTGTTTCAGAGACCTTAACTATTTCAATAAAATGATTTTTAAATTTAATGACTCCAAATGGTTACACAGTGAAACTGGTAGAGTTTTTTAACAATGTCCCAAATATGTCCACTTCAATTTGCTGATAAAATTTTTATTTTTTAATATTCCCACAGGGATTGAAACAGGTTTACAAAAAGAACCCCGCAATCAGACACCAACTCCATCTGCGGTTCCTGCACCATCTTCATCTAAATATCACCGAGGACGCTCTGGGGGAGCCAGAGACGAACGCTACCGGTCTGGTAAGGAAGCCACAAAATCACCTGATGAACTTTGAACCAAATGAACCTTAGTATCTTTGACTAAACAATAAAGAGAAATATTAGTTATGACATGTTGAGGGTACTACAGGAGGGAAAAAGGAAAGGCCAGCTGGGATCATTAGATGTTGGCAAATTATGAATGATAGTGAATTTACTTTGTTCATGTATAATAATGTTTAAAATTATCCAAATTAATATCTGTGTCAGCACTGGAGATTAGAAGAAGAGCTAAAAGCACCCGTCTGTCTTCTGAGGTAGACCAGGTCACAAATGGACTCTTCAAATTTGTTTAGAGTGATGTTGATGTAGGCTATGGTTAAAAAATATTGAAAGCCTGGTTTCCCCTCTCCTGCTTATACCCCAATGAATTAGGGTGAAAGTAATCTCAGTTTACTTTTTTAATGTTTAATTTTAATTTTTTCAGGGACATGTGGCTCAGTGGTTAAGACATTGAGCTTGTCGATCAGAAAGGTAGGCAGTTTGGCAGTTCAAATCCCTAGTGCCGCATAACGGAGTGAGCTCCCATTACTTGTCCCAACTTCTGACAACCTAGCAGTTCGAAAGCATGTAAAAATGCAAGTAGAAAAATAGGAACCATCTTTGGTGGAAAGGTAACAGTGTTCAATGCACCTTTGATGTTTAGTCATGCCGGTCACATGACCACGGAGATTTCATCAGACAGCACTGGCTCTTTGGCTTGGAAATGGAGATGACACCGCCCTCTAGAATCGGGAACGACTAGCCTATATGTGCGAGGGGAAACTTTACCTTTACCTAATCTCAGTTTATTTCTAACACTTCCTCTGTTTTCTGGGCTTAAAGCATGTTTTTGTTTTTTAACAGTTTCTCCAAGGTCATCTGTATAGTATCCTAATCTAAAGCCTGTTGCATTTTAATTGTGTATAACTGAATGCTATACAATACATGATAAAAATACTTTTAGGATTATGAGATGTTTTATTTAGTAAATAAATTTAGTAATAATTTATTAAGTACTAATTTCCTTAGTGTCAATTTTAAAAATGCTCAACAATATCTGCAGCAACTAAAGTAATATCAAAATGACAGGTTTTGGTTGAAGCCTTTCAGCAATTGCCCTGCAGAGTTACATCTCAATATATGACACGTGCATAAATTGTAGCATTTGTGTAATGACACTGTCACATGCATATTAACATTTGTGTCTCCAACCACATGCACATGAATATTTCTACATATGAGCAGCATGCTAAGTCCTCATTGAATAAGTTGCTACATTTTACTTATAACAAAGATGCCAGATTGACAAACTGATTTCTCAATGGTTTCATATTATAGGTGAAAGAAAACCTTTATGCCTTTTAAGCATCTTTTGAGATTTCTTTTGGGATGCTTCAATAATTGATTATCAAGAGTCATTTGTTTAGTAAGAAGCACATATTTAGGCACTTTAAAAATCACAAAATCAGGCTTTTGAGCACATGTGCTAAAATAAGCCCTCCACCAAAAATATTGCAACACAGCAACAGCCATGAGGTGACCACGCTCGCTGCCTCCTGGACCTCAAAAATAATAAGATCTCTCCGAAAATAAGGCCAAGTGCTTATTTTGAGGGGTAAAAAGAAAATAAGACCCTGTCTTATTTTCAGGGAAACATGCTGCCTTTCTTTCATTTGAACAAGAGTCCATACTCTGATTATACAATGTAAATATCTTTTTTTCACAGTAGTTAGGTAGGTAGGTAGGTAGGTAGCAAGCATACGGCTTCTCACAGTAAAGATTAACATCCATTTCATATGAGAAAAATTAGCATGGTGGCATTCAGCTTTTACTATTGAGACATTTCTTTTCACTGATTATGAATATTATGTTTGGAGATTACATAAGATTCTCACGTAAGAGTGACTCTGTGACTCTGACATCTTCCATATACTGTTTCCATCTGCTGTGAAGTAGTAAGGGAATTGGAGTACAGCTGCCTGCTGTGGAAAGGTTCACTTTGTACAGAGAGAACTTGCATCTTGACGTGGGAGAAGATCCCTCCTCCCCCTTCATGTCCCCAGACTTATTGTAAAGAAAATACATGAATAAAAGAAACAGTTTCCTTCTATCCTGAGTTTTTGTAGTCATTACATCTCTCTAAGGAGTTCTGATCTTCTTGGAATTAGCTTCTTTTTTTACCTATATTTGAACTTTGGTAAAAATTGAAGGAGTCTCAAAAAGAAACCTATTTTCTGCAAGATGGAGGCCTGGTGGCGCAATGGTTACAATGCGGTATTGCAAGCTAACTGCTCACTGCCAGAAGTTCAATTCTGAATGGCTCAAGGTTGACTTGGCCTTCCATCCTTCTGAGGTCGGTAAAAAGAGGACCTAATTGTTGAGGGCAATATGCAAATATTGCTTCTTCATTGTAAACTGCCAGAGAGTAGTGTAACACAGTATGGGGCAATATATAAGCCTAAATGCTATTGCTATTGCTGGTGCTCACTTATACTTTTAAAACTATTCATAGTCGGCAGTGCTTTTATATCAGTAATGGGAGCAGAAGAACCTCTGTATTTTCTGCATCAGCTATGTCCCAAAGGTGTTTTTTTCCTCCTTTTGGAAAATCACTTTTGAGACAACCATGACCTGGATGATTGAGAATCTCTGTAACAGCTCTGTTCTTGCTGTAGATGATGCGATTTCCAGATTGGGAATCTGGATGTTACACATTCAATAAGAGGAGTTCTTATACAAAACAGTTGAAAACCAAATGTTTAAATTCAAGCCAATCAAAGTATTTCACAGAGGACAAAATGTTTGATATTGTTGAGCAAGATCCAGATTTTGCCATAGTGGATTCGAATAAGTTCTGCCCATGTTTAGGACCTGAAATGTCCTAAAATTGAGGGAATTTTTTTAGCGTTATTGATATATGAGTAATCTGCAATTGTTGTCAAAGTTCTTACTTTACAAGTGATATTCTTACTTTACGTGATTCTCATAATGTATTCCAATAGCCAATCTATTATTAAAATGTTTATGAATTTGAATGTGTTTCACAGTTACGAGTCAATATGAATTATATGAAGAGTCACTTTTAGTTACAAATGTATTCAGACCTTGAACGCACAATTATTTTTTTTAATCCTTCTGGATAAGGTGAACTTTTGTGCCCATATGTTCCTTCTTATTGTGCTCCAGAATGAATGAATGAATCATGTTGTGTTGGTTTCATCTTAGCACTGTGTTACTGTGCTTGTCCAAATGAGTCATATTGAGTAAATGGCACATTCAGCATGAACTCTGTTATTTTTGCATAACCTCCTGCAGACTTTATGACCTTGGTCCCTGTCATCTTGCTGAAGTTGTTCTTCTGGAGCATATTGTTCAACAGATTATTGTTGAATTTAAAAACTGTACTAGCCCTTTGAAGCCAGGCAGTCAGTTGTGTTAAAATAGTTGTAGATTTATCCAACTAAAAAGCTGTATTTTATCTAACTTTAAGAGATGTGAAGGGCTGTTAACATTCCTTTCTTCATATATTCTTCAACTGTTGTGTTTTCAACTTCTATTGATGTTTTGTGCATCTAGACATTTGCATTTCTGCAAATTCAAACATCTCAGTATGATTCATTTTGTAAAATGGAAATCTTCTAAATAGTAACAGTGAAGAATATGTCAAATTTGTGTGAAATGTTCAATTAGAAATCAGATTGTGTTTGCTTAGCTTTAATTTACATGCAATATACTACATCAGAAATTCCTGCTTCAAGAATGAGAAAGGAAATTATATACACCACTGAACCAGCATAGTATCAGTCAGAGGTGAGTTCCTACCAGTTTGGACTGGTTCGGCCGAGTAGGTAGTAACTCGACTGGCCATGCCCCCGAACTGGTTCTATTGGGGGTGCCTATGGCGCTGCCATCTTGTCTTTTACTTTGTGCATGCACAGAAGCAATTTTTTCACTACTGTGCATGCATGCATCAAGCACCTGGGTGCCCAAAGAGCATCCCTGAGCGAACTGGCAGTAACAGAACCCAGAACCCACCCCTGGTATCAGCCCATGTTTGAAAAGGTTTCCAGTTCTCTGGATCAGTTGGTTAGAGACATAAGAGTTGTAGAAAAGAAGAGTATTTCTAAAGGAGGGGGGAGGGGAAATCTCTGCACTCTGGCAGTAACCACAATCTTACCCATTAAATATGTTTAATAATTCATTTTAGTCATGTGAAATTTTCTTCAGAAAAGCATGCAAGTATAAATGTTTCTTGTCTTGAAATATTCTACCCCGTTGATCAACAAAAGTTCATATTCTGTGAAATCAGCGAAGCTTTCAGAGACACTATGTCAATTTGTGTAGGATGTGCCTAAAAAAAAATCAAACGATACAACTTTGTTCAGCTTCTGTTGTTAGCAATTATATGCTTAACCTTGCTATATGGCTGCAGGACCAGTTTGCTAAATGGCTATAAAAGAATACTCTGTTTTAGACATATGATTAAGGGCTCTGCTCTTGCAATGTTCTTATTTTCTTACGGACTTGCTTCTATTTTTCAGACATCCATACAGAGGCAGTGCAAGCTGCATTGGCAAAACATAAGGAACAGAAGATGGCCCTGCCTATGCCCACAAAAAGGCGCTCTACGTTTGTACAGTCTCCAGCTGATGCCTGCACACCTCCAGGTTAGAAATCAACTGGGAACCAATTGGTTTCCTTTCTGAGAACTTGAATTTGTGCTAACTTTTTGTTTGATGAATGAGTCATATTTAGAAAAATATTTTTTTTAACATATGGAATATGTACCTTCTTTCCCTTCAAAGGAAACTACGAACTCCAACTTCTTTTTGGCTTTTAAAATATTTTTCACTTTTTGAAGATTGCTGCCTCCCAAATATACTTTGTTTGTTTTAACAAGTCTCTCAAGTGAGATAGAATGTATATATGTGGTTTATTTTATTGATCTAGAATGTTCCTAACAATGTGCACAGAAGACATATCTACTGTTACTCTCATCGGAATAGATTTCTTTAATGTGGAAGAATTCTGTGTTGTAGAATTGAGATTCCATACATACCTCTCCGGATAATATACCTGATATTATCTTTTTTAAAACAGTCATTGCTAGTGATTGAGTGGTTGGTATGTGAAATAGATGGAATGGAGATTATTGTTCATAGAGAATGGGGCATTCCCTATTTGTTGAGCTTTCCAATCGACACAGTCTATGAAATAGATTCAAATTCCGTTGCTGTAAGACTGGCAGCACCTTCCTCTTGTCAGTTGGAAACATGAATGAAGAGAGGAACTGTGTTAAATGTGTTTCTGCTCATGCCTTTTCTTTATTCCTAGGTTTGTGTTTTTTCTCATTCAAATAAAAGCAAAAGGCCAAGTGAGCTTGATTTCCATATCAAATTGATTTCTCATGTTCCAGGAGAGCGCTGAGGAAATTTGATGAATAAACAGCATACAAGGAGAAAATGTCCAGTCTTTTTAGTTTACCGTACAGTTAGGCAGGATAAAAGTATCTGCTTTCTCAAATGGCAACGGATTGGAAAGAGACCTTGTCCCCTTCACATCTCTTCCCCCCCCCCCCAAATGTCTATCACCACTCTTTAGAAGGATGGGAGGAATACTACCATACTATCTTCTTCTGTTGGAAGAAATGTCCTTCTGGGTTCAGTTCCAAGTGGGAAGAAAGACACTGGAAACATGGAGGTTGCTTGGAAAGATGGTTTAATGGTGGACAGGACTGCATGGTTTGAGGTCCTGGGCAAAAAGTGAAGAGATGCTGAGAGTACCTGGGTTTTATGCCCTCTCTGGGCTTTTGAATTTGAGCTTGTATCCAGATTGGTTGTCAGACTCTCCTGGGGCCATGCAGGGGTAACTTTGTAGGTTGTGTTTTGAGTCCCAGGTTTTGTTGAGCCTTGCTGGGTGATGTAATCTTCCCAGGTGCCATGTGGTGAGTTCTGTTGCTAGATAGATCCTTTTATGACCTGGAGGCCACGTCTTTTGTGTTGTACATAAGCTGACCCAGGCCTTAACAAAGGCAAGGGACTGAGTTTCTGCCTCCTTTTTGGGGGAATTATTCTTTACTTTTTTAATTTCCTAAAATATTTCATTTTTCTAGGAGAGGGATGTGTGCTAACTTACACTTCCTTTTGGGGGGTGAGACCAAGATTACTTACTATTTTCAGTTTGCAGTTAGGTTAATCACTTTTTAGCATGCCATTATCCCTTAATGTACAAGCATGTATATGCCTTTTTTCCAGTGGAACTCACTATAGATTACTATTGGTATATTTGAGAACATATCTTAACTGCACCATTAACCGAGGTTCTTCATAGTCGCAATTAGCATTCCCCTTCGCTCTTTTCAAGAAAGGCTGTAGAAAGGGTGGTGGGACCTTAGCTTCAAGGCCCTGGGTGAAGCGGTTTAGATGGACCCTTTCAGGTTGGGTTCAGGCTGAACTGTATTATTGTTAGGGCACTGGTTGCACTCATTGATGACCTTCGGAGGGATCAGGATGGAGATGATACATCCTGGATTTCTCTGTTGCTTTATATACCATCAACCATGATATCTTTTTGGACTGGCTTTGGGGTTAGGATCAGGGTCACTGTTTACAGTAGTTCTTTTCCTTCCTCTAAGGCCAGTTAGTGTTGGTGAAGAGGCCGATCTCATGAGAACTCTTGCCTCTATTACATTGGCCTGAAAGACCCGATTATGTTACATTTTTACATACATATGCATTGAGGTTGAAAAATGGTGTTGATTTTCCTGCAAAAGATGGATGATCAACAAACTGCAATGCTGCAGGTATTCTCCAGAGGTGTTAGTGGCTTTGTGTTATGAGAACCCTTTCTGCAGGTTTTGGCAGCCAATAAGGACAATAGAAGAGAAAAGGGGTCATGTACAAAGCAAGACTCTGCAGCATTATGAATCTTCCCTTAGGTTGAGAAGAAAGTATAGCTTCACACCAGGCTGAGAGTTGACTGTATTTCTAGCCCTGCCTTGGAGTACCGTCGTATCTCCAGATTGGACCAGTTTACTTCTGGTCACAAGGAAGTGCAGCAACAAAGATGGTAGGTAAGCAAGTGATATGGTTATCAAAACTGAATATACATTAAAATGCAAAACCTCTGAAGATATACCACAAGGAGTGGTAGATCATCTGTGGAATTTCTGGTTTTCATATTACTGTAACAGCTCTGACAACTGTATTTGAACATTGTCAAACAAAAAAACAACCCAAACAAACCCAGGGCCTTTTCTATTTGAAAAGTGCAGATCTGTTGCAAGTTGGGACTTGCAGAGTAGGCACTGTAATACTCCCTGGCTCAGTGGCCTACTTACTTCCAGGACTCCTAATTCTTGGCTTCTTAGGAAGCATGTTTCTCACTCGCAGCTGATTGTAAAAACTGAACGATGATTCATGTTCGAAAAGACACTTTATAAATGCATGTGGGGAATAAATCCTGTTAGGGGAGTTTCCATGGATTTGCTTGGGTGTATCCATCTGTGTGCAAGGGTGCTTAGTGCATAGTTCAAACAGAACCACGTTTAAAAGCAAAAGCTGAATTCATGACTTCTTATTTACGTATTTAAAACATTTATAGAGCCACCCAATCTACTTCAAACTTTGGGTGGCTTCCAATCAAGAATTAAAATGATAGCAACAATAAAACAGCATAAAAACAGTATCAAAACTAAGTCACATTATCCTATCCCAGCACTTCGGGAGGAAATGCCAGGTCTTCGTTGCTTTTCAAAAAGCCAAGGAAGTAGAAGCCTGCCAAACCTCAGGTTATAGAAATAGGAAAGAATTCAAGCTCCTTCCTAAAGTTGGTTTGGTTTACTACTCCATGGAGACTAACAGGTGTTGTAGCTCAACACAAGAAAATCTGGAGTACTTCATACATGCTTAAAGGTGCTTTACTTATCTTATTTTTTGGACTATAAGACACACCAGTGTATAAGACGCACCAAGATTTCAAAGAGGTAAGTAAGAAAAAAAAGTTTTTGTCCTCCCCAGCCCTCAGGAGCACTCTGCAGGCTTCAGCAGGGCTAGGGGAAGGCAAAAATGCCCCCTTTTTTGCGAAAAACGGGAGAAAAATGGGCCACTTTTTGCAAGAACGGTGGCATTTCCCCTTCTCCCAGCCCTGGTGAAGCCTGCAGAGTGCTTCTGGGGGTTGGAGGAAGCGAAAAACTCCTCCATTTTTGGGATGTAGGGGCGAGGCTTCGGGAGTCCAAAAATGTCTGTATTCAGTGTATAAGACGCACCAACATTTCCACGCTCTTTTAGCGGGGGGAAATGTGTGTCTTATACTTCAAAAAATACAGTAAGTCATACTCTCCAGATGCTTTAGAATTCAGTTCCCAGGCTTCCTAGCCAGCATTATTTTTGGAGTTAAGAATTGTACTAGCTGAAGCATCTGAAAGACAGGAGGTTGAGGAAAATAGTTCAAGATGAAATTTTATAGTCCATATAGCGGGAGAATAGGATTTTTTTTGGGGGGGGGGTTCCAGACAAACTGTCATCCTATGAATGTAGACTTAGAAGGAAACCCATTAAGCTCAATGGTGTTTGCTCCCAAGGAATTAGTCATAGTTGTCTATTTTAGGATTAAATAATAGTGACACACAAAAAGGCAGTGCTGGTATCAACATTAAACTGCAAATAAGTGTCATTGACTACGTATGTTCCTTTTTAATTCAAATACTAATAATAATACTATCACTATTTACTATGAAGTGATTGTTACAGAGGAGTTTTAGATTTTAAAGCAGAAGTATAATAAAGTTGGAATTTTAGTTGTCTACTTTTTTTTCTTCCCAAGAATGATTTCTCAAAATATCACTTCCACAAGTAAGCTAGCAATGTTCAGATGTATATGCTTATGTGAACAGTTTCTCTCACCTATGAAAGTCAACAAATCTATATTGAAGTTAAGAGTAACTAACGTATATGTATAAGAAATAGTCAGGCTGGCTTCATTTCAGGATGTAAAACTAAATATTGCTGTCATGTTAATAGGAAAGCAAAATCTTCCAGGTTAGTGGTCAGAGTGAAACAGAAGCTCTGTTTTGCAGTGAAATTTTTTGTTTGTTTGTTTGTTTATGTGCCATGATGCTCAAAATAAATAAAAGTTTGAAACCCTGTAGCAATTCAGATCCATTTGAGAACTTCCCTAGCTGTATACAGACTTACTTTGTTTATTGCTCCTCAGTGCTCTTGATTTTTACTAAGGGTGTACAAAACGTTTCACATTGTACCATCCCAAATTCAAGGTGCCCTGTTTCAAGGCAAAAGAACTGTTTGTATTTGATGGAGACTGCCTCTCATTTTGAAAGTACAGTACTTTGAACTTAATATAGTTCAGTGGTGTGTTCCGGATCCCGTTTCAACCGGTATGGTTGGAACAGGCCTGGCGCTGTCCACATGGACGTGCTCATGCGGCATACCTCCACAAATCTCTGCGACGCTCCACCTGCTTGACAGAGTGTCGCGCAGGTGCTGCACGTGCCATGCACGTGCACGGAAGCACCGAAGGCTTTAAAGGACAGGTAAGGAGCTTGGGTGGATGGGTGGGCCCTCCAGAGCACTGTACCGGAACGGTACCTGGTGCTCCAGGCAGGCTCCAGTACGCTCGTACCGGGACTGCAACCCACCACTGATACAGTTGTTTCAGATTAGAAATTATACATATTTCTATTTTTTGTATACTAGTATTTTTTTACTTATGTTGTTATGCTTCCTTGTGAATGCAGATTGTGTCAATTTTCTTGTATGATTTTGAAGAAACAATCTTCGTCCTTAAACACCTTAGTAATTTTGCTGATATATAAACAAACTTATGTTTTACTATATACAAGTCACCCTGGGACCATAACAAATCTTAACAATTTATCTTGGTTGGATCAAATGTAGAATATTACATTTGTTGTAAGTGGGGAGCAGGGGAGGGGTGGGCAGATTTGCAGCATGTAGATCAGTTTGGAGGTTCCCAAATTATTCATGTGTGATCTAATTGTACAAATATTCAGATTATTTCAGAAGGCTTGAATTACAGCCTTCTTATTTCTCTTTGTAAGCCTGAATTCATTCCCTAATGTCATGAGGTTATATTACTTCACCCTCTCCATTTGTAGGAGTTCATTGTGTGCCTTACATATTACTAAGACATGTCAAGCACCACATGAACAAACTACTACATATATAACAAAGATTCAAGGTCAAAGTACATTTCATTCTGCTTCTCCCCCAAATGTATCTATCTATCCAGCCCATCTTGCAGTGTGCTTTATACACTGCTCAAAAAAATAAAGGGAACACAAAAATAAGGCATCCTAGATCTGAATGAATGAAATGAATTATTAAATACTTTGTTCATTACATAGTTGAATATGCTGACAACAAAATCACAACCCACACCTGTGGAGGTCGGGCCCTCATGGAGTCTGTTTCTGACCTTTTGGGCAGCCACATGCACATTTGTGGCCCGCTGGAGGTCATTTTGCAGGGCTCTGACAGTGCTCCTCCTGTCCCTCCTTACACAAAGGCAGAGGTAGCGGTCCTGATGCTGGGTTGTTGCCTTCCTACGGCCTCCTCCACGTCTCCTGATGTACTGGCCTGTCTCCTGGTAGCGCCTCCATGCTGTGGACACTACACTTACAGACACCGCAAACCTTCTTGCTGCAGCTCACATTGATGTGCCATCCTGGATGACACACTACCTGACTACCTGAGCCACTTGTGTGGGTTGTAGACTCCGTCTTATGCTACCACTAGAGTGAAAGCACCGCCAGCATTCAAAAGTGACCAAACCATCAGCCAGAAAGCATAGGAACTGAGAAGTGGTCTGTGGTCACTACCTGCAGATACACTCCTTTATTGGGGATGTCTTGCTAACTGCCTATGCTTTCCACCTGTTGTCTATTCCATGTGCACAACAGCATGTGAAATTGATTGGGCAGTTTGATTTCACAGAAGTGTGACTGACTTGGAGTTACATTGTGTTGTTTCAGTGTTCCCTTTATTTTTTTTGAGCAGTGTATATCTATCT